CTAAGTGCAGGCGCAAGAAACTGGTGCGTGTGCCTTGCCGGCGCGAGTTGGACGTGAAGCTCTAAACCTGCAAACGCCTCAAAGAGACATCCCCCTACTCAAATCCTAAACCTTAAACCGGCTCAAATCCTAAATCTTAAACCCTAAACCCTCTCTTTCCTCCATGTATATATATATATATATATATATATATGCATGTACAGAAATGAATGTATTTTGTATTTACATGTTGAACCAATTTGTGGTCGATCGGCACCGGTGTTGGGCAAACTCTGGTCCATCAGGACCGGTGTTGAACCAATTTGTGGTCAATCGGGGACTGGGACTTGGGCTCTTTGAAGATGGGTAGGATTAACGCTGGCTTGAGGAATCTAATGTAATGACATTTTTCTGGATGTTGTGGAATTCTCTGGGCGGGTGGGTAGTTTTCTAATGCTCGATAAATTGCCGACTGGTGCATGCTTGGACTTGAGATGCAGAACCCTAAGCCCTAAGCCCTAAGCCCTCAGCCCTCAGCCCTCAGCCCTCAGCCCTCAGCCATAAGCCCTAAGCAGCCCTAAACCCTAAACCCTAAACCTTAAACCCTAAACCCTAAACCCTAAACCCTAAACCCTGAACCCTAAACCCGAAGGCGCGGGCCTCCGACAGAAGCGGAGACGGCCAGGGCCAACCCCTGGTGTTTGGCGTCGGGGTCGTTTAGGGTTATGGGGAGGGTTTGGGGTTTGGGGTCTAGGGTTTAGGGCTAGGGTTTAGGGATTGGGATTTAGGGATTGGGGTTTGGGGTTTAGGGTTGACGGCTAGGGCCGCTAGGGTTTAGGGTGTAGGGTTTAGGGGGTTAGGCTGAAATGGCTTCAATTCTCTGGTTCGTCACAACTTCCCCCAAGAAAACAAGCAGCAACAAAATACAAAAGAGAAGAAGGGCGTTTCCGGGTTTCCACTTCTTACACCACCCACACCCCCAACCCTGAACCCCAAACCCGAAACCCAAAACCCCAAAACCTAAACCCTAAACCCTAAACCCCAAACCCTAAACCCCGAACCCTAAACCCAAAACCCAAAACCCGAAACCCTAAACCCGAAACCCTCAGCTGACCGGCTGCTGCAATGCTGCTGGGCCACTGCCAGGTTCCGCAGGAGCTTCCGAGCCTGCAAGGTGTTGGGGTTTAGGTGTAGGGTTTAGGGTTTAGGGTTTAGGGTTTAGGGGTTTAGGGGTTTAGGGGTTTAGGGTTTAGGGGTTTAGGGTGTAGGGTTTAGGGTTTAGGGTTTAGGGTTTAGGGCTTAGGGCTTAGGGGTTAGGGTTTAGGGCTTAGGCTGTAGGGCTCAGGGTTTAGGGCTTAGGGTTTAGGGCTTAGGGTTGCGCATTGCAGGAATTGAAGCCTTCTTGCCAGCAAACCTCAACCCAAGAACCTCAACCTCAAAACCTTAGCCCATGTTAAGCCGTAGAGTTTAGGGTTTATAGAGGCCCTAGGGATGTAGCGAGATGCATTTTTAAAAGTTTACCCAAACAAAGTAGGAAAGGAATCTTCTCACAAATGGAGGGATTTGAAGCTTGCGCTGTGGTGGGTGGTCTGTTCTTGTTTGTCCCCCCGGGACGGTACTTCCACAAAGAAGGCTCGGGTTTGGGTATAGGGTTTAGGGTTTAGGGTTTAATTCGCCTCGGCTTCCTGCCGAGAAGCGTCTGGAACAAGCAGACCTCCTTCCCCCTAACCCAACCCTTCCCCCCATGACGCCACCCCCCCCCCCCCCCCCCCCCCACCCCCCCCCCCCGCCCCCCCCGCCCTGTGGGACCCCCCCCAACCGCTTGGAGGAGCTGCAAACCGATGCCGTGGAGGGTCCCGCCTGTCGGTGCCTCCTACAGGGGAGTGCCGCAAAAACACCCACCCCCCCCCCCCCCCCCCCCCCCCCCCCCCCCCCCCCCCCCCCCCCACCCCACACCCCCCCCCACCCCCCACCCACACCCCAACCCCCCCCAACCCACCCCCACCCTTCCCCCCCACCCACCCCCACCCGCTCTCTGCCCTTCCTCCCTCTTTCCTCCTTTCCTGTCCTGGGCCGGCCCGGCTGCCGAGGCGGCGCGCGCAAGCGTTTACAATTAGGGTTTAGGGCTCAGGGTTTTAGGGTTTAGGGTTTAGGGTTTAGGGTTTAGGGTTTAGGGTTTGGGGCTAGGGTTTTGTGCTCTTTTTCAAGGGACTAAAGGGGGGACCCGTATAAGGGACCTTCGGGCTAGTTAGGGGTATTTGGGGGCTACTGGGCTATATAAGGTATATATATATATATAGGGATTACTGTACACATATTCCACCACAGACAAGCCCAAAAACCCGAACTCCTTTTTGTTGCTCGAAGGCTCTATCGTAGTTCCTTTTTGGGTTAGTTCGAGGGAATTCTGGTATCCTGTCCCAAAAAGTACTACGTAGGAGCCTGAAGTATCCCTTTAACCTGAAACTCGCAACCCTACACCCCCTCCTACAACCCCAAACCCCAAACCCCAAACCCCAAACCCCAAACCCTAAACCCTAAACCCTAAACCCGAAACCCCCAGACCCCTAAACCCCTAAACCCCCAAACCCCTAAACTGGCAGCCCCGGTGGCCTGTGCTTGGCGATCTGGGCCGCCCTCCAGCAGCTCCGGCCTTGGCTGACTTCTGAAACCCCTCCTACAAGGTTGAACTTTCAGGCTCCTTCTTGTAGTTTCACCCTAAACCCTAAACCCTAAACCCTAAACCCTAAACCCTAAACCCTAAACCCTAAACCCTGAACCCTCAATCCAAGAGGCAGCATCGTCTGCGCGGTTTGGGACAGCGGCTCGCCGAAGAGGCCGAAGAGGACCACCAGGTTCGCCAAGACCTTGCCGGGGCCCAGGGCCACACCCGAAAACGCTAGGGTTAAGGGGTTAGGGGTTTAGGGTTTAGGGTTTAGGGGTTTAGGCGTTTAGGGGTTTAGGGGTTTAGGGGTTTAGGGGTTTAGGGGTTTAGGGGTTTAGGGGTCTAGGCGTCTAGGGGTCTAGGGGTCTAGGGGTCTAGGGGTCTAGGGGTCTAGGGGTCTAGGGGTCTAGGGGTCTAGGGGTCTAGGGGTCTAGGGGTCTAGGGGTCTAGGGTCTAGAGGTCTAGGGGTTTGGGGAAGGGCCACACCCTAAAACCTCTGAACTTAGGGCTTTAGGGCTTTAGGGGTTTGGGGAAGGGCCACACTCAAAACATAGGGGGCTTGAGGGGTTTAGGGGTTTGGGGGAATTTCGGCAGCCATCTGGACACTTTCACCCAGAGACAGATGCTTCCCCAGGGCCTGGTAGCCCGCAATGGACGCCGTGCCCATGGTCCCTGCCACTGCGTCTATAGGGCTTAGGGTTTAGGGTTTAGGGTTTAGGGTTTAGGGTTTTAGGGTTTTAGGGTTTTAGGGTTTTAGGGTTTTAGGGTTTTAGGGTTTTAGGGTTTTAGGGTTTTAGGGTTTTAGGGCTTAGGGCTTAGGGATTTCGGGTTAAGGCTTAGGGCTTAGGGCTTCGGGCTAGTACCCTTTCAAGCGTGTCTTCCTTGTCTTGGGTGGGGTGGCAGGGTGGGGGGCGGGGGTGGTGGTGGAGGAGTCGTACTGAGATGCTTTGTTGGAATCAAAGGGCCACATCATAATGTCGTTTAGATTTTGAGGTTTAGGGCTAAGTTATATATATATATATATATATATATATATATAATGTGCATATATATATATATGTACATATAGCATATGCATATATATATATATATATGTAGATTTAAGCGGCCGTGTTATCATGGAGACACAAAAGCCACAGGCTGTCTGCCGCCAGAAAATTCCTGCGAATGGGTTCAGCGATTGAGTTAAAGATTTAAGGTTGTATGGGCCTATAGGATTGGTGTCTATGCTTCAGAGTCACCCCAAACCCTAAACCCTGAACTCTAAATACTAAACCCTAAACCTTGAACCCTAAAACCCTAAAACCCTTCTGCCTGCGGTCTTTGCCATCCAGGTGATGCTCAGAAACCTGAATTGCAAGAAAGGGCCTAAAGGAGGGGCCCTTACAAGGGACCTTAGGGGGGGGGGGGGGTACTTGGGGGTTTCGAGTTTAGGGTTTAGGGTTTAGGGATTTGGGGGCTACTGAAGTATATAGGGACTATATTTAGCGAATATGTGCGGCGGGCTCTAGGGGAATAAGCTGAAGCAAAAGCGTGAGCGAGATGAGACAGAGAAATTGCACATGTGAATGTATGCGGATGGCAGATGGGCAGGCATTCGAAAGCAAAGTCCCTTCTTGGTTGCAGGGTTTAGGGTTTAGGGTTTTGGGTTAGGGTTTAGGGTTTAGGGTTTAGGGTTTAGGGTTTAGGCTGTCGGGTTTGGGGTTTAGGGGTGATTGTTAACTTGGGGCAAGAATTGCGTGGCCATGTGCTGTTGGGTCCGCTTCAAGTGTAACGAACCCCCAAAACCCCAAACCTCCCAACCCTAAACCTGAACCCTGAACGCGCAACCCTGAGCCCTTATCGGGCTCTGAATCCACAAGCCTCTAAGCCCACGAACCCGTCTTTGCCAGAGGGGTCACCGAAAAGAGATCACCACCGCCAGAGGGCGCGCATACCTGAGAGCACAACACCCTTCGGATCTCTTCAGGTTGGGGTTGAGGGTGTTGTGCGGGTGTTGTGAGCGTGCTGTGCGGGTGTTGCGAGGGTGTTGTGAAGGTGTCGCGAGGGCGTTGTGAGGGTGCCTTGAGGGTGTTGAGAGGGTGTTGTGAAGGTGTTGTGCAGGTGTTGTGAGGGTGTTGTGAGCAAGTTGTGAGGTGCTAAGGGATTTGGGGACCAAATCTGGGATCACATAGCGGCAAACCGCGCACACTGTCCAAGGTTGACTTGGGGGTGGGGGTGGGGGTGGCGTGGGAGTGGAGTTGCCGGGGTGGGTAGTGGCAGTCAGTCGCAGCACTTCAAAACGCCACGTGTTTGCTTGTCCGCGCAGCGAAGCTCGGAAACGCGCGCGCCAAAGTCCGTCCTTGAAGAGCGCCTCTCAAGATGTCTTCTTAGAGCTGGGGGACGCTTTCCCCCAGGCCACAAGCTGGATGGCGACCTCTGCTGTCACGATGGTCAAGGCTGCACCCAGGGTCGCCCCATCTGCGAAGTTTGCCTTCTGGTCCTCTGGGGTATTGGCTTCGGTCATCATCACGCCCACGTAGATGCGCTGCACAGCTACCCAGAGACCTGAACCGATATGACGGAATATCCAACGCTGGTGGCCAGCAAAGTCCTTGGCCCGTGCGCGCTGCACGGCCAGCAGGATGGAAAGAAGGAAGTAGAGGCCGATGCCACGAAAAAGGGCCATGTGATCGAGCCACTGCAAGCCGATCTTTGACATGTGCGCGTGCGGCTCGATGGTCGGGAAGTCGCTCAGAATGAAGACAAGGCCCCGCGCGTCGATGATGAGCAGCCCTGCGAAGACGGCCAAGGAAAGCGCCACGAACAGCCTGCCCAGCCACCGGTGCGCCCTGCGGTAGCGGCGGCGTACATCCGGGTGGATCTGAATAGGCACGAGCAAAGCCCAGAAGGCTGCCGGCAGGATGTGCGTGAGCTGGACGCTCGGGTGGTGCTGATATTTGGTGATCAGGCTCTTGGGCGTCGGAAAGACGGCTGCGTACTTGTCAAACGACTCCTCGATCCAGTCATCATGAAGTTTCCAACGCCCACCCATCCAGCTCCCAGGGAAGACCAGAACCCAACCCACCATCATGGCGCTCAGGCCCGTGGTCGCCACGTACAGCAGAACCAGCACGCCCCGCCGCGCGGTCCACAGCGCACGAGCCTCGCGCCCTGGCACGAAGAAGTCCCAGGCGGCTTTGGTCAGGACGTAAAGGCACACGCCCGCCGGCCCAGCGAAAAGGGTCACCACAACCAGGGGAGCAATGCTCCAGTGCGGGATGCCTACCTCCCGGCTCTCCAGCACGATATGGCGTGCCATGAACAGGTCGAAAGCGATGTAGTGGGTCCATCCCGCGAACATGACACCCCGGTGCGAGAACAGCGCCACCACCTGCGAAGAAGAGGCTATTCATCCATTCCCGGAAATATTAAACCCCGAATATTAAATACTCCCAGTATAGATGTATTATAGTATAGGGGGGTGGGTTTTAAGGGGGGGGGGTTGTTATTACGGGGAGGGGATTCGTCCTCTCCTGCTCCCCAAGTTCCCCTACTCCCCGTCCTTAGTCCTACTACTCCAAGTACTCCTTCTGGTTTCTCCGACTACTAGTCATTACTGCCACCAAAAAATAGAACAACTACAACAACAGCAGCAACGGCAACAACAAACTCCTCCTCCTCCTCCTCCTCCTCCTCCTCCTCCTCCTCCTCCTCCTCCTCCTCCTCCTCCTCCTCCTCCTCCTCCTCCTCCTCGTCGTCCTCGTCCTCGTCCTCGTCCTCGTCCTCGTCCTCGTCCTCGTCCTCGTCCTCGTCCTCGTCCTCGTCCTCGTCCTCGTCCTCCTCCTCCTCCTCCTCCTCCTCCTCCTCCTCCTCCTCCTCCTCCTCCTCCTCCTCCTCCTCCTCCTCGTCCTCCTCGTCGTCGTCGTCGGACCTCCTAGTACTACGCAATAAACACTAACAATGTACGAATGGTATAGCGGTGCCTCGTCCAGCGACGAGAAACCACTGCCCGGAGGGAGGCGTACAATTGGAGGCGGTGGCAATGCGTCTTTGGCAATTTTACCAAGGAGGGCAAAGTACAGAGCTGAATACATCACCACGCATGAGAAGGTCACGGTCTTGGTGTACCGCCAGCCGGGGAAGAAGATGAGCGCAATGTAGCCGACCATGACAAAATTGAGGCAAAGGAACAGATCATCGTCTCTGATGTGCTCGAGGCCCGGGAACGGAAGCGGCATGGATAGCGATGTCAGCGTTCACTGCGCGGGCGCAAGTTTATGGACAACACAGAGGACTCTAAGGCTGAGCAGATCACATCGAGCTGTGCTTCTTGGGAGGGAAGACAGCACTGGCAAAGAAACCCTAAACCCTAAACCCTAAACCCTAAACCCTAAACCCTAAACCACAGGCAAAGGAAGGCATGCTCATCCCATTTCAACATGGTGGTTGCTCGAAATGATCGTCCGTTTGGGGGGGGGGGGGGGGTTCCTTATTACAAGGCGGCCCCTGTAATTTAGGGTACCCCAAAATCTTATTTAGGGTACGCCAAAAGGGGCCGCCCTGAACTCGAGCTTGTCCCGGCTCTACTCCACAACTTAGAGAACTGACCATGTGGATATTACTGTTTGCTGATGCTGCTGCGGCTGCTGCTTCGTTAGATCCTTCTCTTTGCTAGTGCGGCCCCTCCGAAGCTCTAAACCCGAAGCTCTTAGCCCCTCAAAACTTAGCGTAAACCCTAGACCCTATAAACTCTATAAACCCTACAAACCCTACAAACCCTATAAACCCTATAAACCCTATAAACCCTATAAACCCTTTCAACCCTTTAATCCCTATAAACCCTATAAACCCTATAAACCCTATAAACCCTATAAACCCTATAAACCCTATAAACCCTATAAACCCTATAAACCCTATAAACCCTAAACCCTAAAACCTTAAACCCCTAAACCCCTAAAACCCCAAAAACCCTAAACCCTGCAACCCTATAACCCCAAAATCCTATAACCCTATAAACCCTAAAACCAAAAACCCTGAAACCCTAGAACCCTAAACCCTAAACCCTACACCCTAACCCCTAAACCCTAAAAGCTTAAAACCCTAAAACCCTAAAACCCAAAAACCCTAAAACCCTAAAACCCCAAAACCCTAAACCCTAAACCCTAAACCCTAAACCCCCTGTCAAGCAGAGAGGCTCCAACAGCGGCGCGAGATCGGCAGTCTTGGGGAGGCCCAACTTTGGGGACAGCCCATTCCTTGAGAGGGTGCAGGGTTCAGGGTTAGGGTTTAGGGTTTAGGGCTTAGGGTTTAGGGTTTAGGGCTTAGGGCTTAGGGTTCAGGGTTCAGGGTTCAGGGTTCAGGGTTCAGGGTTTAGGGTTAGGGTTTAGGGTTTAGGGTTTAGGGTTTAGGGTTTAGGGTTTTGGGTTTTGGGTTCTGGGTTTTGGGTTTTGGGTTTATGGTTTAGGTAGTTCCTTCAGAGGCTTCAGGTTCTAGGGTTTAGGTTGTTAGGGTTGCTGAGGGTTGGAAGGTAGTTGGGCTTCCGGGCGTTTAGGGTATAGGGTTTAGGGTTTAGGGTGTAGGGTGTAGGGATTAGGGTTTAGGGTTTTGGGTTTATAGGCTATTAATTGGTTTGTGTTGGGGTCTTGGGGTTCAGGCATTCAAGCGTTTACGGCGGAGTTAGGGTTAAATGTTCAAGGTTCAGGCTTTTACGGTGCAGTTAAGGGAATTGGGTGGCTTTGTTCTTTGGAGTTGTGGCGTTCAGGGCTTTAGGTTTTTCTTTGCCCACTTGTCAAGTAGGGCTGCAAGTACCTTAATCCACGGCTGTGTATATTATAGGTGGCCCTAAACCCGAAACCCCAAACCCCGAACCCGAAACCCCAAACCCCAAACCCCAAACCCTAAACTCTAAACCCTAAGCCCTAATGTTAGGGTCACCTTTATAATCCGGGTGTCAATAGTGGCAACTTTTCCGGCCGGGATTTTTGCCCAAAAGTTTGTTTCATGAACAGTTTCCATTATGTTAGGCTGCCCCGAACCCTAAACCCCATTTTGAGGGGGGTCGTAATCAAAAAACGGGTGGTAATAGTGGAAACTTTTCCGGGAGAATTTCCCAAATGTGCTTCCGAGAGTACTCCTCTTTTCACTCGAGGCCGAGACCACACAGCTGAGAGTGCTTCACTTCAGCAGAGGCAGTCCTAGAGAGTGCCTTAACTGGTTGAGGTAATAACGCTCGGCCTTGGGGCCGTCGCAAGAGAGGCAGCCAGAGACCCATCTGCAACGACTGCAGACGGAGCAGCCAAAGAGTCTAATTTGAGAAATCTTGTCCTGATGTTCCTTAGGAAGATCAGAGAGCTCAGGTTCCTTGCCTAGAGACAAAACCTTGGCAGCGAGTTTCGCTGCCTGAGAGGCTGCTTCTGCTGCGACAGAGGCCTTCTTGGCAAGCTCTTGAGAGACCTTGAGGTTCTTGAGTCGGCTCTTCTCCAGAGACTTCAAGCGAGAGGCCTGGGGCCAGAGAACACCCAAAGAAGCCCGAAATCCTAAAGACCTAAACCCTAATTAGGGCTTAGTTAGGGTTTCATTAGGGGGGTTTGGGGCCTGCTGGCCTGCTCGTTCTGGAGCTTGTCTTGTTCGCCAGAGAGCTGCCCGAGCCATGTTCTGAGGAAGTTCATGAGATCCATGACGATCACAGAGCTCCAGCCCCTGCTCGCGGGGCCTTCCCCTCGCTTGAGAGCTACCACCTCGAAGATGTGGGCCAGGACATAGAAGCCACACTCGTCAGATTTCTGCCTCTGAGAGTCTTCACGTTGGGGCAAAGTCTTGCCGGGGAAGAGGAAGTCCAACAGAACCTGGGCATTCGCAGCGCAGCAAGGGCGCGGCTCCTCATCGTTCAGAGAGTCGTAGTACTTGATACGAACCTCATCAGACTCCTGGTCCAAGTGCAGCAGAGTCCAATGCTTTGGGCCATCACCCTGGCCCCAGACAGGCACGAAGAGCGTCTTGAAGAGCTCACCCTCGCGTTTCAAGGCGTTTTCCACGATAGAGACATCAAAGCACTCCTTCGTGATGTACTGGAGAGAAAGCTTGGGGTCCATGATGCGAATGCCTTGCTCAAAGAAGAAATTCTCAGAGCCCTGGCTGAAATGCCATCGGAGGAGCTCGAAACCATAGAGGATGTGTTGGTCCAGCAGCATCTGAGGCGGAGTCTTCAAGAGCTCAATCGGCTCCGGCCCGTAGACACTCTCCTCGAGAAAGAGCTGGGAGCCTCCGCAAGAGTGGAGGACCCTCTGCTTGAGTTCACGAGAGAGCCGCATGTGCTTCCAGGACAGAGGCTTCAGCCAAGAGGCCTCCTTCTCCACAACCAGAGAGTCAGGCAATGTCAAAGTCGCCATGCTGTCGCCCAGACACGGGAGAGTCACCGTGCCTTTGCTGAGGTTGTGGTGAGAGCAGGTCGCCTCCTTGCCACAGTGGACGCCGAGCTGCAAGACCCGACAGACCCGGCCCGCCAGAGGTCCTTTCTTGCAAAGAAAAAGGAACAGGAGAAATTAAGTCTTCACTTAGTAAGGTTTAAAAAAAAGCCCGGGCGGGGGCGGGGGGGCTGTCCTTTCGTGACTTCTGCCAGAGTGGCCTCTTCAGCTTCGACGTCGGAGTTTTGGAGCGCCAGAGCCTCGGCAGCATTCATCGTGAGAGCCTTCATGAGAGCCTTGCCGTCAGCGGTCTTCTTGACCTTGAGCTTCTGGAGCTTCTTTTTCTTTTGAGAGATGGCTTCAGAGGCCTCGCCCGCACGAGGCACGAGCTTGCCTAGAGTCTGGCCGAGAGACTGCGTCTTCAGCTTGTCTCTCAAAGCCTTGCGAAGCTTGGCAGAGACTCGTTTCTTTGCCAGAGACTTCACCATCTTCGCGTACCTCCTAGAGGCTTTCTTGTCCTTCACAGAGACAGGTGTCGAGATAGAGCGGCGTTGAGCTGCAAGCTGCAGTTCGAGAGGAAGGCGCAAGAGCCCACTTTCAATGCATGGCAGCTGCAGCTCAGAGGGCAGTTCCGAGATGTCCATCAGAGCTTTGTCCTCCTCTGGCGCAGAGGCGGGATTGTGAAAGTCCCACTCGTAGAGGTCAGCCAGCTCTTTAGAGGCCGTGATGAGGCTGAAGTCTGGCTTCAGAGGAACAAGATTCTTGTCCACCCAGAGAAAGCGATCTCTCAGCCAAGAGACATCGATCCGCTCAGAGCCTCTGCGAATCCAAAAGCAATGAAAGAGTTCAACCTCAAGATGTTTAATGAAAAGAGAAAGGGTTGATGAACCAACAAAAAAGGTCGAGAAGCCCATTTGGACACCTCCGACTTCCTCAGAGGAGAGGGGAACGAGTTTCTGCTCGGCGAGAGAAGCCTTGTAGGCGAGGATGCCGTTGCGGCGGAGTCCTGCCACCACCCAAGAGTTCTTCTCGTTCCTTTGCCGAAGAGTTGTCTGAGCAGAGACAATGGCCTTCACCATGTCGAGAGGCGAAGCCTGCCAGGGTTCACGAGAGCCCTGAGCAAGAAGAGCCTGCTGTCCCGAGCTCCTGAAAGACTCCATCTCGGCTCTGCAGAGAGCTTTGAACGACCGAGCATAGTCCGTGTCAGTTAACTGCAGAGAGGCAGTTAGCTTGGGTGCCAAGAGGCACTGCAGGTGGTTGCTCGCGTAGAGGGACTCTGTGGCAGAGGTCGTCCAGGCCCCCGCAAAGGCATCTCTCTGATGCAGAGCCACGACAGAGACCTTTGCGAGCTCTTCCTGACTCCATTTGAAGATGATAGAGTCGACATTGGCCGAGGGTTGAGACATCACAGAGACTTGCTCGAAGAGAAGAGGGTCCTTGTCGCGAGCCTGACGCCACGAGAGCAGGATCTTCCCGGCGTACGACTTCGCAGAGCGGACCACCTGCTTGCCCTTCCAAGAGAAAGACTCCTCCACAATGAAGCGACCAGAGCTATCAATGTTGGAGAGCCTGGCGTGGACACCATGCACCACAATGAGACCTGGGAGAACCGCGCCAGAGAGCTGGGCTTGAGGTTTGGAGGTGCAGAGGCCATAGAGAGCTTGGCGCGCCTCGTAGGTGATGCGGTATCTCGAGTGCTGGTCCTCCTTGAGAGCCCTCTTTTGCCCTTGGCCAGAGGAAGCTTTTGCCTTGGCAGAGGGCTTCGCAGCCTCGAAAGATGGCAAAGATTTGCCTCTTTGCTCCAGAGAGGCTTGGTGTGCAACCTCCAGGTTGTG